AGACCAAAGGTCCATCTAGTCCAGTATCCTGTCTTCTGACAGTGGCCAATGCCATGTGACCCAGAGGAACGAACATAACAGGTAATCATCAAGTGGATCCATCCCGTCACCCATTCCCAGCTTCTGGCAAACAGAGGCTAGGGACACAATCCCTGCACATCCTGGCTAATAGTCATTGATGGACCTATCCGCCATGAATTGATCTAGTTCTTTTTTGAACCCTGTTATAGTCTTGGCCCTCACAACATCTTCTGGCAAACAGTTCCACTCGCTGTGCATTGTGTGAAGAAAAACTTTCATCCTGGATTTCTCTACAGGACCAAGTGGAAGGGAAATCCTGGATGACTGGAGAAAGAGCTCTTTTTCAAAAGCAAATATACCAAACAATAGCAAGGAGAACACAGAAGACATCTCTGCACAGGAATCTATATTCCACTTATTATATTTACTAGTATCGTTAATGTTTCCTTTTCCAAATGTATTCCAGATAAACACCTTTTTCTGTGGTTCCAGTGCGCCCATTGCACACAGTGGATGATGTAGTGGAACATGGTGGGACCCGACATGAATGGATTCGGAGTGCCCTTGAACATGAGGTTTGCATGATCTACCTTTCACAAGCAGATGACAAAGTAATCAGGCTGAAGAATTTATCAGTTCACCCAGTCACCATTGCTTTCTAGCTAAGAAGAAGCTGGAGGCACAGCATGTGTTGCCCTTTCTCCCCAGTACAGATTTGGAAGGATTATATGCATTATGGGAGGGAATGCCCTAAAGATCTCCCCAGAGCGATCTTCGCTGGAAGGAACAGACGTATCTGCTTTTATCCTGCACATCCTAAGAGTTGCCAGACTGGAACAAAGCAATAGTCCATGAATCCTAATATCTCCTCTGCAAGTGACCAGTGTTGGATGTTTTAGAAGACATAAAAACCCCATTGACAGTTCCCCTATATCCAGAGGAGAAGTTTCTTTCTGAACCCAGCAGGTGATCTGTTTATGCCCTGAAGCATCAGAATGCAGAGCCCTTATAATATTTTCTCTAGCCTATAAGAGCTGCAGATTCTGTTCAAGTTGAAATGTGTCTAATCCATTTTTGAAGTTATTAAATTTTGGTTTTCTCAAGACTATCCAGCAATGGTGAGTTCCTCAGGTTAATTATATGGTGCATTACGGAAAAAAAGATTTCCTTCAATCCGTTTTAAATTTGTTGCTCTCTATCTCCCCTTGTTCTTTATTATGAGAAAAGATAAAAAGGTGCAATTGCTCATACAGTAACTACCATACTCAGGGCTTGTCTTCACTACCTGCCTAGATCGGCGGATAGAAATCGATCTCTCGGGGATCGAATTATCGCGTCTCATCGGGACACGAAAATCGATCCCCCAATCGACGCGCGTACTCCACCAGCCCAGGTAGGAGTAAGCGCTGTCGACGGGGGAGCCGCGGTGGTCGATTTGCCGCCGTCCTCACAGCGGGATAAGTCAGCTCGGATATGTCGAATTCAGCTACGCTATTCGCGTAGCTGAATGTGTGTATCTTAAATCGATTCCCCCACCCCAGTGTAGACCTAGCCTCAGTTTGATTGCCCTTCTTTCTCTAATTTGAGATGAACTCACCAAAGCCGAAAGCAGAATTCAACTATACAACCCATTCATAGGGTAGCATAATCATCATTTGCAGTCCTATAGAACCTTTCATTTGAGGATCTCAAAGCACTATACAAAAGTAGATATTATTGTCCCTATTCTACCGAGGAGCAAGCTGAGGCCCAGAGAGGCCAAATAACTTGTCCAAGATCTGCCCAGCTAAGCAATAGGAAAGTTCAGAATGGAAACCACGGCCCAAATCCTTAGTTGATGCACACTGGCATAGCTCCAGTTGAGGATCTGGCCCAAGTTCTTCAGACTCTCTGTTCTCTGAGCTATCCACTGAACAGCCATGTTGTCTGTTTTATTCTCTCTTCTTAATACAGCCTCAATCACATCTTCAACTAACACCACAGACTGAGCAGACATCTTCAGTGACATGACCATAGTGATGCCTGGATCTCTTTTCTGAGAGGATGAAACAAATTCAGAAGCCATCAGTGCAGGTGTGTATTTTAAATTATTCTTCCCAACATGCCTTTCTTTGCACTTGTCTACACTGGAATTCATCGGCCATGGTGTTGGCTCATTTCAAAAGTGGCTCAAAAAGTCATTTCAGTTCAGGATGGGATAGAAGGGAGTGGGGGAGTAGAAGTGTGAGCTACCGGGACTTGGGAGTCTGCAGATTAAATTATAAGTAATCTGCACAGTAGGCAAAGACATAGCTCTGAAATGTCACATGCAAATGTAGAGCAAGAATAGATCATAGTGGACGGGGAAGCTGCTAAAGTGGATGCTTGCCTCAGATAACCAGTCCCTGTTATTCCAAAGCAGAAGGCAGAGCTGAGGAGAAGACTCCAGGATGGACAAGAAGCCGCTGGGGAATCTGATCAACATCACGAAGAGTAAGAGGCCTCTCGGTTTGAGAAGATCAGGTTGACACTTAACCTTCCATGGAACAAAAACATGGGCTCTAAGGAAAGTGATGAAGAATGAAGCAGAGAGACGGTGCGTGGTGCATGTGTGAGTGGGAAGAAACCAAGGGACAGTTTGCTGACCATGAAAATGCCATAGTCATGGGCAAGAGTGAGCTGTGTCATGAGGTGGGAGAACTGGAAACCAGCACAAGGCATGGGCAAAGAGAATTCATCAGAGGTGAACAAATGGAAAGACACTAGCAGTCTCCAATGCAAACCTTATGTGGCAATATTTAGACCAGGATAAAGTCCCCAGAGGCCTTCACCTTGCCCAAAATAGAGGGAGACTGATGAGGAGGGATTAAAGACATGAGTTTGCAAAGCATAACCAGAGAGAAGCTGAAATATGGCAGTCTGGCAAAGAGGCAGCAGAGCCCTCTAAGCAACCCACCCATTGGATGGCAGGGAAAGCACAAGTACCTGTTCAGCAGGCTGAAGCTGCAGAAGGGAAAGGAAAGCAGAAGGGTGAGTGGAGGCATGAGAGGGGAAGGAAAGAGCACCAGCCAGGGATCATGTTATGAAGGAGAAGAGGCGATGGCAAAGATTAGTTGTCCAGGAATCCACGCTGAAGATGGAAGGAGGGCCAAAATAAAGTGTAATTCATTCTTATGTGTTAATTACATTGCTGTAGCACCCAATCAGGATCAGGGCTTCATTCTGCTGGGTGTTGCACAAACACACAGGAAGACACCGAGTCCCTGCCCTGAGAGTTTACAATCACAATGACAGCAGAGCTCCTGAAACACAGCACCCCAGGGAGGCGGGAAGAACTCTCACGCCTCTCGATGGGCTTGGTGCAGCTGGGGCTAGGGCACAGCACAGCCCCCTGTAGCTCCTCAGTCCTAGACTGTGCGAACACAGGCCCTGTTCCTGGCATAAATTAGACAAGTCTGGTGGATTCTCTACTATATACTGATTGCTAATGGTCCCAAGGGGGTGTTACGGCAGCCAGGGGTCACTGGGACTATGCTCCCTTCCTCCGGCCTTATCTCCTGCACAGACTACGGGAAGAGGGGTTGGCATAAAGTCACTATAGCAACTACCCTTCCTGAGGTTCTCCTATGCAGCTTGAATCCTCCAGTGGCTGGCTTCACTGCTTGCCAAAGGAGCAGTGTAAGGTATCCCAGGTGCAGTCACAATAGAGAAACAATGGCTTCTCTCTCTCCAAACTCAGTCTGACAGCGCTGCCTCAGCTTCCCTTTGGAAGGTTCTCTCCACAATCACAGGAGCTAGAAACCTCTTCTCCTCCCCACCCACCTGTCCAAAAGAGCTTAATTCCTGCAGGAACGGATTATGGGCTTATCTTCATTGCAAAGTTTCACTCAAGTTATAACTCGAGTGTTGCCGCTTAGAGATCAGACCTTTCCAGGCCTGGGGTCTAATATTGAGCCGTGCTAAGCACCCACATCCCTCCTTGACTTTAGTGAGAGCTGCAGGCAGTCAGCACCTCTTAGAATCATATCTGACTTAATTGCTCAGACCAGGTGGATCATTAAATCCAGTATCTGATGGTCAGTGCTAGTGCTTCTGAGAAAGGGATAACCCATGCAGTTAGCCAGAGGAGTAATGTTCCATGAGGGTGGTGAGGGGGATCCCTTGTTCTTTGTAAATCTTTATATGCAGGAAGGAGCCCTGTCGTAGCTGGACACACATTACAGAAATTAGTGAAAGAGTCCCATAAAGGGAGCTACTCTCCTCCCTCCCTCTTACTAAAAAGGGAACAGATCCTGGGGCCCAATCCCTGTGTGACTCTGCATCTCCACCAGGAGAAGGTCTGTTTGAGGGATGCATCCTAAAGGTGAAGCTCCCCAGGTGGTCTTGTGGAAGAAAACCTGGGCTGTGTTTAAATTCTGGGGGGTTGGGGGATTCCATTCATTATATGGCAATGAGATTTCATTCCCCCTATTGCAGGGCTTCTCAAACACTGCCAGGGCGTGGACCACATTTACAGACAGACGGCCTCCTGAGCATCACGCCTCCGCGTTCACAATTGCACAGGCCACATCCCTTCCCAACTCTGATCATATAACACCCTGGTGACAACCTCACCGATTGCTCATGTAGAAAAGAATGACTAGCAATGAAGTCAGGGCACTCTTAGCAGTCTGTAATGGGACATAGCAGCTGGGAACGAAGAAGAAAGCCAGCCCTGTTGGGAGCCGCTATCCTGCTGAATGTTAGCATGCAGCGTATTCATAGAATCATAGATATGTGGGGCAGGAAGGGACCTCAAGAGGGCATCGAGTCCAGCCCCTGCACAGAGGCAGGACCAAGTGACCATCCCTGACAGGTGTTTGTCTAACCTGTTCTTAAAAACCTCCAGTGATGGGGATTCCTCAACCTCCCTTGGAAGCCTGTTCCAGTGCTTAACTACTATTTATAGTTAGAAAGTTTTTCCTCATATCTAACCTAAATCTCCCTTATTTTACAGTAAGCCAATTACATCTTGTCCAACCTTCAGTGGACCTGGAGAAAAATTGATCCCCAACTTCTTTAGAACAGCCCTTAATATATCTGAAGACTGTTCTCAGCCCCCACCCCACCCCCGCCCTGTCTTCTTTTCTTAAGACTAAACATGCCCAGTTTTGTTTTGTTTTTTTAACATTTCCTCATAGGTCAAGTCAGGACAATACTTGTTGTGATTGTAATGGTTTCACTCTAATTTGCACTTGCTGGCTTCATTTCTAAGAGTGTTGAAATGGAGTCAGTAGAAAAAAATGGGGGAGTTGGTTTTAAAAAAGTGACTAATGCCAGTTAGTGGGTCTTCCCCTGGCTATGGGTCGGCAGCACCGATTCTCTGGCTTACACTGCAAAGTATAAGAGCAGTGGCGCTAACACAAACACACATTCCAAGCTTCCCTATTGCCAGGGATTATGATGCCATCCACCACTAGGTAGCTTCCTCCTGCCTGTCAGCAAGGCATTGTTACAAGGATTTGAGATTTCAGGTGCACAGCTTTAGTCCTGTAAACAGACCAGGCTGAATCAAACCCACTAATGGCATTTGCCAAAGGGGAAGCACTAATGTAATTTTTTCCCAGCTCTGAAAACTGAGCGTAGAATAAGTTGATAAGTTTTTGGAGCTCTGGATTTGAAGGCTGATGCCCCAATAACATGCTGCAGGGAGCATTCTCCAAACAACAGTGTACACACTGGGATTAACTGTTCCAGAAGAGAGCTCACATACAGTCCTCTCACTGCATCAGAGCTGAGATTGAAACCATGAGGACTGTTTTAGATAACCAGAGCAGATACGAGGTGAAGTGATGCCCTAAGGCAGCATTTTGTGTGGTCCTGCAATGAATCTATGCTCTGGTTTTTGCATTTGTATAAATCTCTCTCACAGAGAAACATGCACACACAGAGGGAGCAGGCACAAGCTTTTGGGGTCCAACCTTGCTCCTCTTGAAGTCATTGGGAGTTTTCTATTGATTTCACTGGGCGCTAGATCAGACCTTTAATTTCATTTGTAACTGTGGCCAGACACTATGTAAATGAGTTTTATGCATGCTAATTCACAGTGTGTATGTATATGGAATTTCAGATTAAATAAATTGTCAGGATTGAATTAACAGAAAGACAGAGGGAGATCGCATGACAGGTCAGCCATAAAACGGCAGCCAGTGTCACTCCTACGTGGAGAATCCTCTTCTGCTCTAAATGAGTGTAGTCTCTGTCAGTCAGAAAGGGCTAGAGGTCCACTGGCAGAACAGCACAGTGTGTGGCTTCCTGGGAAAATCCCTTTCAAAGCACAGATAAGAATCATTCCTGCGCTAAGTGTATTGGGACTGAGGAATCGCATGGGTGAACAGATTAAATCAGAAGCATGAGGCACTCCTGCTTTTCCCTGGGGCTGACACGGCTATTCCCATCCCTCCCATAGCAGCCCGGGTCTTTGTGTTCCACTTACCATACACCCAGCCAACACAGATGACTTCAAAAATGGTCAGGAACAGTAGGCACGTACCACTGGCAGCATAATAATCAAACAGCTGGAAGATGTACATTCCACCCTGTGTCAAGCAGAAAAAGGAGAGACGTGGAGGGCTCAGCAAAAGGGTATGTGCAAGAGAAAATGGAATTTGGACAAATACAAAACAAGGCTGAGGAACAGGGAACTGTACACAGAGCAAAGGGGCTGTGATAGACCCAGACCAGTTGGGAACAGCAGAGTAGCAGAAGGGAGATATACTGGCCACTGGATAAGTAGTTTTCTGTTCCCTGAGTGACCAGAGCAGGGGCTGCTGCAGGCTAATAGACCACCTGACTCCAATTAACCTGCTAAGAGTCAGGTGAGGCAGTTAAGCACCTGACTCTAATTAAGGCCCCTCTGATGCTATAAAAGGGCTCACTCCAGTCAAGCCAGGGGGAGCCAGAGGAGAGGAAGTGTGCATAAGGAACTGGGAGCAAGAGGTGTGCAAGAAGCTGAGAGTGAGTAGGCGTACTGCTGGAGGACTGAGAAGTACAAGCATTATCAGACATCAGGAGGAAGGTCCGGTGGTGAGGAAAAAGAAGGTGTTGGGAGGAGGCCATGGGGAAATAGCCCAGGGAGTTGTAGGTGTCGTGCAACTGTACCAGGAGGCACTCTAAACAGCTGCAGTCCACAGGGCCCTGGGCTGGAACCCGGAGTAGAGGGCGGGCCGGGGTTCCCCACATACCTCCCAACTCCTGATCAAACACAGGAGGAATTGACCTGGACTATAGCTTCTACCAGAGGGGAAGGTCTCTGGACTGTTTCCTGACCCACAGGGTGAATCTGTGAAGCGAGCAAACCCGCCAATAAGTGCAGGACCCATCAAGGTACAGGAGGAACTTTGTCACAACTGGTGTCAAGGGTGGGATTTGGGGTGCACAGTGAGGTGGAAGAAGGAGGGTGATTTAAAAAAAAAAGGGAGAGGGTTTATTTATTTTTTCACCACAATGGATGATGTAGTGTGGGCACTGATACAAGCTACGGCGGCCCAGCAGGAGGCTACCCGTGTCCAGGCAGCCGCCCAACAGGAGGCAGTGTGGCTGCAGCAAGAGACTAATCACCTGCTGATGGACCAGGCTGCTCAAGACCGAGCTATGTTGCAAGAACTGGTAAGCCAGGTAAAGACCCTTACAGAGCTGAACCGTGGCCATGATGGGATGTGGCTCATACGGGCCAGCCATTGGCTGCAGAAAATGACGTGGGAGGATGATGTAGAGGCATACCTTCTGGCCTTTGAGAGGACAGCCCTATGGGGGCCTGGCCTCGAGATCAGTGGTCTGGCATCCTTGCCCCATTCCTGTGTGGGGAGGCCCAGAAGGCCTACTATGATCTGCCTGAAGAGGCTGCAGCAGACTACCCCCAGCTGAAAGCAGAGATCCTGGCCAGATCTGGGGTAATGACTGCAGTGCGGGCCCAGCGGTATCACAAGTGGAGGTACCAGTAAAACAAAACCCCGCGGTCCCAATTGTATGACCTCATCCATCTCGCACGAAAGTGGTTGCGAACTGGAATCCAGAAGAGATATTAGAGGTTCTGGTCATTGACCAATACATGAGGGGACGACCGCCAAACCTTCGCGCCTGGGTAAGCCAGAACGAACCCTGCACCTACGACGAGGTCATCGCATTGGTAGAGAGGCGAAGGACGGCGAGGGAGCTGACCCGACCAGTTAAGGAAGATGCACCCCGGGTTAAATTAGCAGCACCAAGCCCCAAAGCTCGGGTGACTGGGACACCAAGAGGGCCCAGGTGGAAAAAGAGAGGGGCTGAAGGCCCACTAGAGGCCACAAAGAGTCGGAGCACTGAGGGAGAAGAGGATCGGGATGTTAGACTGCCCAAACCAAGAGACCTGGGAATGCCTAGGGCTCCATACAGATGTTATGCCTGCGGGGAGTGGGGACACATAGCTGCACAGTGTCCCAATGCTGAGGAGCCTATGCAATGTAACCTGGGGAACTGGGCAAACCCATGCTCCCTAATCCACCTTGTGGGGGTCTCACTAACCCCACATATGTATACCAGACCAGTGAAACTAAATGGGGTAGAGACCACCGCACTGGTTGATTCGGGGAGTGCTATCATGCTTGTCTTGGGGAAGCTTGTGAAGCATAGTCAGCTGCTGTGGGCTAAGCATACGGGGATAACTTGTGTCCATGGGACAGTTGGTTATTACCCTACCATCCCAGTAAAAATCGAGATTCAGGGGAACACTATTGAGGTAGCAGCAGGTGTAGTCCCTAAACTCCCATACCCGGTGCTCATAGGGAGGGACTTCCCAGGGTTTGGAGACTTACTCCCGGTAAGGGGATTGGAGAAAGGGGGAAACCTGAAGTTAGTGAGGCCACAATAGACTGTCAGCCCCCAGTCTTCTCTGAAATATCCCCAGATTTGTTCTCCACTCCCAGACAGGGTAGAAAGACAAAAAGGGAAAGGAGGGCAGCTAAGGCCTTGGGAACCCGAATACTGACCCAAAGCCAGGGGGTCGCTCTTGTAGGTAGGCGGACCCGCGCAGCTGAAAAGGAGGCCACCCAGGAGGGAGAAGCACCCGAGTCTGACCCCCCACCCTAACACTTCTGAACCAGTAGAGGCAACAGAGACTGGCCCCCTAGATCTCGGGCAGATTAGCCCCGGGAGAGGAAATTTTGGACGGGACCAGGCAGAAGACCCAAGGTATGACAACATTAGGAAGGAGGTGACTGAAATAGATGGGGTCCCCGTGGAAGGAATAACCCAGGGACCAGGACCCTACTTCATAATGAAGAAGGATCTCTTATACCGGGTTGCACCAGTATAGGGGCAGAAGGTACAGCAGATCCTAGTACCTCAAAAACACCAGAATGCTGTATTAAGTCTTGCCCATAGTCATCTTTTTGGTGGACATTTGGGGGCAGAGAGGACCCTGGCCAGGATCCTACGACGGTTCTTCTGGCCCGGAGTATATGAAGAAGTCCGGAGGTACTGTGCGTCCTGCCCGGAGTGTCAACTGCACAGTCCCCGTCCCCACTTGAGGGCACCTTTAGTACCCCTTCCCATCATAGAGGTCCCCTTCGAGCGAATAGCCATGGACCTAGTGGGACCCCTGGAGAAGACAGCCCGGGGCCACCAATATATACTTGTCATTCTGGATTATGCTACTCGCTACCCAAAAGCCGTCCCCCTGCAAAACCCAGCCTCTAAAACGATAGCTAAGGAGTTGGTAGGGATCTTTGCCCGAATGGGGCTACCAAAGGAGATATTAACAGACCAAAGGAACCCCATTTATGTCGAAGCTAATGAAGGACCTCTGTACGCTGCTCCATATACATACCCTGAGAACTTCAGTCTATCATCCGCAGACTGATGGGTTGGTAGAAAGGTTTAACCAAACCCTCAAGGCTATGATAAGGAAGGTGGTAAGTCGGGACGGGAAGGACTGGGACACCCTACTACCTTACCTTATGTTCGCTATCCGGGAGGTACCTCAGGCCTCAACTGGATTCTCCCCCTTTGAGATGTTATATGGGCGCAACTCCTGAGGCATCCTGGACATAGCCAAGGAAATTTGGGAGGAGGAACCCAGTGAGTGGAAGAACATAATAGAGCATGTGCTACAGATGAGGGACTGGATAGCCCGGGTCACTCCCATAGTGAGGGAGCACCTAAAAAAGGCCCAAGAGGCCCAGCAAACCTACTACAATCATCAAGCCAAGGTTAGTCAGTTTCAGCCCGGTGACCAAGTAATGGTACTGGTACCCACGGCCGAAAGTAAGCTGTTGGCCCCATGGCAAGGGCCCTATGAAATAGTTGAACCCGTAGGGGAAGTAAATTACAAGGTGCGACAACCGGGACGTCGAAAACTAGAACAGATATATCATGTAAACCTTCTGAAACCCTGGCATACCCGAGAGGCGTGCACAGTGGTTCGGGAAGACCTACACCCAGGGAACAAAAACCCTGGACAGGTGAGGGTGTCTCCCGATCTAACGACAGCCCAGAAGAAAGAGGTAACTGAGATTATCGCCCAATATCAAGATGTATTCTCAACAAAGCCGGGTCTCACAACTGGGACATATCATCACATTGTCACGAACCCTGGGGCCAGAGTAACAATGAGGCCCTACCGGGTGCCAGCAGCCAAAAGGGAGGAAATAAAAGCAGAAGTCAGGAAAATGCTGGAGATGGGGATCATTGAAGAATCTCACAGTCAGTGGTCCAGCCCAATAGTGTTGGTGCCCAAACCTGATGGCACATGAAGTTCTGCAATGACTTCCGGCGACTAAATGAGATATCCCAGTTTGATGCCTACCCTATACCCCGCATAGACGAATTAGTAGACCGTCTGGGGAATGCCCGGTACTTAACGACCCTAGACTTGACAAAGGGGTACTGGCATATTCCCCTAGCTGAAGATGCAAAGGAGAAGACTGCGTTCTCTACACCAGAGGGTCTTTTCCAGTATGCGGTCCTTCCTTTTGGACTACATGGGGCCCCAGCTACATTTCAGCGCCTTATGGACAAGTTATTACGCCCCCATGCCAGCTATGCTGCGGCCTACTTGGATGACCTGGTGATTCATATCCCAGACTGGGAAACCCACTTGAAGAAGGTGGGCCGGTCCTTGATACCTTCAGGCAAGCTGGCCTTACGGAAAACCCTGTTAAGTGTGCTGTGGGGTTCACAGAGGCCAAATATCTTGGCTACGTGGTAGGAAAAGGTCTGGTGAAACCTCAACTGAACGAGTTAGAGGCCATCCAAAATTGGCCACGACCAAGTAGTAAGAAGCAGGTTCCTAGGGGTGGTGGGGTATTACCGGCGTTTCATTCCCCATTTTGCCACAAGGGCAAGTCCTCTAACAGACTTAGTGAAGGCCCGTGGTCTGGATCCAGTCAGATGGTCCGACGCAGCAGAGAGGGCATTTGCAGACCTACGGACTGCCCTCTGCAGTAACCCCGTATTGATAGCCCTGGATTTCACCAAGGAATTCATCCTTCAGACAGATGCATCCGAGGTGGGGCTAGGGACTGTCCTGTCACAGATGGCTGGGGAAGAGGAACACCCAATT